CAAGGCTGGGAGGGAGTCCAGAGCAGGGTCAGCCAGGGAGTCACACCAGGTTGCTCTGGCCTTCATCTGGTCTGGTCTTGAATGCTCTGCTTGTGCTCCCCTTGGCAAAGTCAGGGCCACACTCCGGAGGGACCTGCCCGGGTCTCACGGGGGGGCAGTGGCAGAGTCCTGGATTTCACAGGGCTGTTAATCCCTCCTGCTGAGCACAGGGTGAGCCACAGCTCCTCCACAACCCAGAGGATGTGGCTGTTTGCATCACTCTTTCTAATGATGAAAGACAAGGTTTCCATTTAATCAGGGCCGGGGAGCTGTGGTTTTACAGAGAAGGAGGGTGTCAGGAGACACCTGCTTAGAGGGAAAGCACAAACTGGCCCTGTGGGCTCACCCCAGCAGTTCCTGCATCCCAATTTTGTGCTGACCCCCTCTGGGGCACAGAGGCTGTGGGGGCACTGGGGACTCCAGCAGGACACGGAGTCTGTTGTGAGGTGATGCTTTTATTTGTCCAAGGGATGTGTGTGAGGAGGATGAAGTCATGGCTCGCCTGCCAGTGCTCCCTGGGAGGGATCTGCTGCAATGATCTGTTATACCAGGCACTATTTTCCCAGGTTTTGCCCACTGCTCAGGTCCCACCAGCTGCAGGAATGGTGCAGGACAGGTTTAGGCTGCTGCCATTCAGCCCTGCAGACACACCCAGACCCTTCTGGTGCACAGCAGTGTCATCATCCATGGGCACAAGGCACAAACCCACCCCCTCATGATGACCACGATGGCTCCATCCCTCGGGGTGTCCTCCACCCCTGCACCACCCAAACCCCATCCCTGTGCCTGAGCCCTTGCTGTCCTTCTACACATCCATCCACCAGACTCTGTGATATGGTTTAGTGGGCACGGTGGGATTTTGTTTGAAGGTTGGGCTTGAGGATTTTCGAGGTCTTTTCCCCCCTTAATGATCCTACAGTTCTAAGCTCCTGCCATCCCTTCTCCTTCCCTTCCTCCCCTGCTCCGCTCCACTCTCAGCAGCCTCCTCCTGTTGTCATAACAACAAGCAGCAGCCCGTGGTGGCCGTGCCAGCCCTTCCAGCAAAAAACACCTCCTCCTGGGAGCAGGCACCGGCTCTCGGCCCCAAACCATCTGGCTGAGCTGGGGAGGGGGCCGGGGGGCAGAGGGACAGGGGCTGCCCTGACCCAGACACACACACTTTGCCTCGGGTTGTGCCCCCAGAACTGGGTGCTGGACACACGGGCACACGTGGAGAGCCGGCCCCAGCTGGTCTCTGCAGCACAGACTCCTCTCCTGCACCCACCTCCTGACACCCCCCTGCTCACCCACATCCTTCTTTCTGCCCGAGTCACAGCAAGGGAATGTGGGGCAGGTGTGGAAAGGGCCATATCCCTGCCCAGCACCCCATGGCAGGGCAGCAAGTGCATCTGCAGAGCTCATCTGTGACTCTCAGCACAGGGGGTGACTCTGGGGATGGGCCTGTGCAGGGCTGAGGATTGGACTGGATGATCCTTGTGGGTCCCTTCCAGCTCAGCACATTCTGGGGTTCTGTGACCTGCCCCAGCCATTCCTCCTCCACAGCAGCTCACCCCAAATCCCTGGAGCCAACCCCTGACCATCCTGGCCCTCAGGTCTCCTCTGCTCCCTCTGTGACACATCCTCATGTGGAGCACCCTGAGGCAAAGCCAGGATCAAACAAGACCAGCTCTGTGCAGATTAAGGAATCCCACAGGCTCCCTGGGGATTGGGATGTGCTTCTCCCAGGGAACCAAGACCACAGGCACAGCCAGGGCTGCTCCTGAAACGCTGGACATCCATCCTGTGGTCCAGAAAGTCAATCAAATCCCAGGTCTCAAAGGGATTTCTCCATAACCAGCAACAGACCAAACCCCCTCCAGACCAGCCTGTTCAAAGCCAGGGGGTTCTGCTACACCCAGAGGTGTGTAAGGAACACAGAGAAATGGAGATCTGGGGTTTAGCTGCTCCTTCTTCATTTCTCATGAGTGTTGTGTGAATTCCATTGAGCCCAGACCTGCTGTTCCAGGACCAAAGACAAACACCCTACTCAGTGGCTCTCAGCCTCTTTCCCAGCTCTTTTCCAGCAAGCCCTGCCAGCTCTACCCCTCAGGGAAGGGTCCAGAGATTTTTGCACTGTGGAAAGGCAAAACCAGAAACCAACCAAAAACCTGCTGGCAGGGCTGGACCTTGGTGGGAAAGGTTGCCCGTGGCCACCTCCACCCTGTCTCTCAGTCCTGCTGCATCTCCCTGGGGACATTATTCCATCCCCAGGCCTTTTCCCTCTGTTATTCCTGCCATGCCAGCAGCTCCCTTTGGTGCAGCTCTGGGCCAGGCTGTGGAGTGACTGAAAGCACATAAACTGATTTTTTTTTGGCTAAAGCCATTCCAGCTACTCCACCCAGGCTCACCAGCCCTTCCCATAGTGGTGCTGGGCTACATCTTCCAACACCACCCATCAGCTGGGCAATCTGCCTCCTCCTTAAATGGCATCCCACTGACAGAGGGCTGGTTGGATGGGATATTGGGAAGGAATCCTTCCCTGGGAGGGTGGGCAGGCCCTGGCACAGGTTGCCCAGAGAAGCTGTGGCTGCCCCTGGAGTCCTTGGAAGTGTCCAAGGCCAGGCTGGAGCACCCTGGGCTAGTGGAGGTGTCCCTGCCCACTGCAGGAGGTCAGAACTGGATGGTATTTTTTAAGGTCTGTGATTCTGTGATTGTTCAACCAAGAGCTTCTGAGAGGTGAAGGAGTGAAGATTTCTGAAGGTGCTTTTATGGCTGTGTTACACAATAAAGGCCTGGTCACAAGTTTCTCTTTCAGGTTCTCCAGTCAAGCTCCTGAGCTGCTGGGGAGAGGGAAAGATCATTTCATCTTGGGACTCGGGGGTCTCAAAAGAACAGCAGGAATTTCAGCCTCCCAGAGAGAGGGACTGGTTTGAACTTCCCAGAGCATTGTCCCAACCCTCCCCTTTTCACAGGGCTATCGGTCACTGCACCTCCCAGGGGAAGTCGCCTGTAACATCAGCCAAATGAGTCTTAATAGTTTGATACCACATTTGGATTCCCAAGGGAGGAAATGTCTGGTCTCTGTGTCTAGAAAACAAAGACTCTATAGGGGGAAGGGATTTCTTGGGACACCTGATTAATTGGAGCCACTCTGGAGATCAGTGTAAACCAAATTGGTTCCAGACTGGGGAGATTAGTGGGGTTTAACTGCAGTGTTCTCCAGACATCTCTGGCTGGCTTTGGAGTGTCTCTGGTTTTAAGCATTGAGAAATATTTCCTTTGATTTGTTTTGGTTTGTTTTGTTTTAAAGGAAAAATCATTCCTCTGGTGCAGAAGCACAAACTGGAGGGGTTGGTGGTGTACCTGGAACAAACCTCACCATCCCACCCCCTCCAGCCAAGGCTCAGTGCCTTCCACCAGCAGCAAGGAAAATCCAAGGAATCCAATCCTCAGCCCTGCACAGGCCCAGCCCCAAGAGCCACCCCTGTGCCCCAGAGGATCAGCCAAAGCCTCCTGCAGCTCTGGCAGCCTTGGGGCTGTGCCCACTGCCCTGGGGAGCCTGTTCAGTGCCCAAGCAGCCTGTGGAGGAAGAACCTTTCCCTGAGATCCAACCTGAGCCTGCCCTGACACAGCTCCAGCCATTCCCTGGGGGCTGTCCCTGCTCCCCCAGAGCAGAGCTCAGTCCTGCCCCTCCTCTGCCCCTGCCCAGGCAGTTGGAACTGCACTGAGGTCTCCCCTCAGTCTCCTCTGCTCCAGCTGAACACACCAAGTGCCCTCAGTGTCCTCACACACCTTCAAATCCAGGCCCTTCCCCATCTCTCATTGCCCTCCTTTGGACACTCTCCAATGGCTCAATCTCTCCCTTCCATTGTGTCCCCCCAAAGTGCCCCAATGTTGAGGTGAGGCCGCCCCAGGGCAGAGCAGAGCGGGACAATCCCCTCCCTCACCCAGCTGGAGATGTTCTGCTCTCCCACATCTCCCCGGGCCCCCAGAGACTTTTTGGATGCACAGACCAAATGGTAGATCCACTTCCACTGCCCCTGGCAGACTCTCAGAGCAGGGACAACTGCAAGAGTGGAACTCCTTGGAGCAGAGGAATGCAGAGCACAGCACCCACCACCCCCAGCCCTCCAACACAGGAGAGCCCTGGGCAGGTGGTACCCAAAGCTGGGCATTGCTGACCTTCATTGGTACCCAAAGCTGGGCATTGCTGACCTTGCTGGTCTGGAGTTTGCTCATGGCCCTACGAGGAGGCCACAGTTGCTGTCTGTAGCTGGGGAGACTGAAGCACGGAGCAGCCAAGTGCTGGGAATGGTTAAACTTCCTTCTGGCTGCTGGATAAATTCAAAAGGAGCCATTGCTGCAAAGCCAGATGGATCTTTAAGAGAGGAGGAAGGCAGAGGTTTGTGCCCTGCCAACGCCTCTCCTTCCTCTCAGTGCTGAAATGGGGCTTTTCTGAGGCTAAATGGAGACCAGACAAGCTTCTCCACCTCTTCTCTCCCCTCCCTCATCCAGCACAGCCACCAGGCTCAGGAAAAAGTGCTGGAGAAGCCCAGGACTCAAGGCCATGGGCTCTGTTCTTGGACAGGGAACAGCTGGTTCTGCAGCCCCACCTGGAGGTTGGTGGTGCCTCCCAACCCAACCCAACCCAACCCAACCCAACCCAACCCAACCCAGCCCAACCCAACCCAACCCAACCCAAGCCATTCTATGAATCCTGGACCCTGCACAGCCTCATCAGAGCATCCACCCTGGGCCTTTGCTCAGGGTTTCCGTGCTGTGAGGATGGAAAACTGGGGAAAAAAATAACAGACTTGTGGCATTTCTTTAGGGCAGAACTTCACCTGCAGCTGGGGGGGTTCAGCAGAGATGGCTTGGTGGGGGTGGTGCAACTTAACCCAACGTTCTCCATCATTTCCCAGGTCCCTGAGTCTGTGCTAAATGCAGTGGCAATTAAAGACTGCCAGCCAGGCCAGTGGTGATTATGTTGGGACTTTAAAATTTATTCCAACATGCTATTTTTTTAAAAATACGCCCAGACTGAGCAGACAATCTGAGCTGTAGTAAAGGCAATATTATACTTGTAAAAACTTCTCATTCACAGTACAGATGTCATTTACAATAAGGGTCACAAACATCAAATACTGAGTAGTTTTCTTTTTCTTTTTTTTTGTTTTGTTGTTTTTTGTGAGTTTTTTGTTCTTTTTGTTTGTTTGTTTGTACATCAGACTGTGCTTTTACCTGCTTTTTTTCTTTTTTTTTTTTTTTTTTTTTTTTTTTTGCACTGATATAACCATACAGACATTGCAAGATGCAAGTGTAGAAACTGGAGTTAAAATAAAATTACAGGCAAAACTACCAAATTACATCGTACGCTGTACATATTTACAGTACCATTTTTTGGAATGTATTGCCATTTTAAGAACATATAGAAACTTTCTACAGACTATTCCACTTACAGAATACATACACCTTTTAGAAAAAAAGGCAAATATTTATCTTACATGAGACCATGTATATTAAATTTGCGTACACATTATTATTATTATTATTATTATTTTACATTACATTTACTAAAGTGATCGTAAGTGCCATCATATCTCAGTAATGAAAACAAATTGGTTTTATGCCATTAGGACTGATTTTTTTTTTCTTTTTTTCCTTTTTTTTTTTTGTAAATAATTTACAATATTTTTTCTTTTTGTAAATACTGTGCAATAGATGGAAATAATAAAAGAGAATTAAAAAAAAAAAAAGGACATGATGAAACAAAGTCAGCAAAAGGAAAAGCTACTGCAAGGACAGCAGGGAAGGGCTAGATCAAACCATCAGGGTTTGGCATGAAATTTGGACTCGTTTTAATGATTTTCCAGGAGTGTATTGCTTGTTCTGGTGCTGTTTCTGTGGATTTTGAAGAAAAAACCAGGTAAAGTGGAAGTTGGTTTGAGGGAAAACCAACTGTGCTGCAGATTTGTGGGTGGAGGGGAGAGCAGAGCGAGGTGGGGGTGGTGGGGGTTGTGCCTGGCAGGGCTCTGGTGGGAAGGACACCGGGATGTGCTGCTCTAGCTGGGAATCTCAGTGGCATCTCCTGCCCCATCCAGCCCAGGGCAGCTTGGAGTGGGATTTGGAGCAGGGTTTGGAGCAGGGTTTGGGACCAGCTTGAAGCACTGGCCAAGCGGTGTCGCTTTAGGGACACCTGGATTGTCACCCCTGGGGAGCAGGTGACAAACTACATTTCTCACTCATAAATTATGAAGTCACAGCTACCTCGTCAGGATTTTTCCTGCTGTGGTTCCTGGGTATCCAGGCAACAACCTGGGAATAACTGGAGCTGGCAGGGATCTGCTCCAAGGCACGGGGGCGTTTTGGGGAGCCAACAGCCCCCTGTCTTCATCCCCTGGTCTGCTCAGCCCTGCAAGACCCCGAGCTCTGTGACCTTGATAAAACCTTGATAAAAGGAGCTCAATTCACGCTTAAGCACAAAGAAGTTCCTAAAACTCCAGAAATACTTCAGCTTAAGCCAAGGTGCAAGTGCTTTATGAGCTCTGGCTGTGAGTCCTGGTATTTCAGATGGACTGTGTCAAGGAATTGTTCCAGAGCAGGGGCCAAGTCCTGTGTGCAGGATGGTTCCTTGGATGCCACAGCATCTGTTTGCCATGGAATACCTGCATTCGTGGAGCTGCACAAACAGCCTATCAGGGAAGGAAATATAAAAAAAAAGCAGGGTTTGGGCTGATTGCCCACAACAAAGAGGAGCAGCCAGGCCCTGGAGGCCACGTGCCTTCATGGATTATAAATTTAAGAACCTCTGCCACGAGAAAAGCAGGGGATTTGATTTCCACCTGCTGATGAAAGGGAGAGGCTGGGCCTCTGGTTTTTCATTTGCCTTATTTGCATTATTAATACATTCTCTTGCAAATAACACTGCTAATTGCTCTGCAAAGCATCTGTACTAACCTAACCCACCCTCGCAGCCCTTGTGGGAAGCAAAACAGGGCTCACCATCCCTGTTTTGCAGACAGAGCAGACATTCAGAGCGATACTAAAAGCTGTGACCACCAGGTGTGACACAGGGCAGCCAAAGCGGGATCCAGGTGGGGGTGATGGCTGGGGCTTGAGCCCTGCTGGGAATGACACCCGAAAACCTCCCAAAATCCGCGACGTTCCTGTGCTCCTTGGCTGAGTAGGAGGCCGGGGGAGAGACGCGTTTGCACAGGGTCACACTAACCCTGCCCGCAGACAGAGATGCTGGTGCCGGCGGGGAGGGCACGCCCTTCCCCGGAGCTCTGAGCTGGCAGTGTGACCATTTAGCCCTTAAATTGCAATTAGGGGGGGGTTGTTTCGTGAGCCTTTTTGCTGCCTATCCAATAGGCCGTATTGCCCGGGGAGGGGCGGGGGACAGCGTGAAGCACCATTTCAGCCCAGCCAGAGCTTCCCCCTTCTCCGTTGAGAAGCCAAACTGGGTCGAGACTCAGCCCTGGGGGTTTTGTGCCCATCTCCTGAGTTTGCAGCGGCCCCTCCACGTGCCCTCTCCGTGCTGGGTGTGGGATCCGAGCAGGGCATGACCCTCACAGCTCCACAGCCCTTCCCCAGAACTCCTCTCCCTGCTTTTATCGGCCCTGGGTGACGAGCCTGGCTGCTCTGCAGCCCAGAGGCAGAAAGCTCCAACTCATCCTGAGCTGCTGGAGAAGCTTCAATAATAATAATAATAATAATGACAATAATAAAAACCCACCACAAAGAAAAAAAAAATCAATAAACCAATATAATGACTTCTGTGTTTTCTTGGGCTTTTTTTTTCCCCCCTCCCGACTCTGTCCATAAATGACGGAGGGGGAAAAAAATCCACGCAAAATATCAACAGGTCAAGGATTCAAATGCAGTTACAGAAAGAAGCTGAGCAAATTTGATCTAGCCCAAAGCTCGTGGCAAATGCACCAAAAAAACCCGGGATGCTGAGTGCACAACTGCTGCAGTATTTTCCTTTATGTACAATTCTTATATATATATATATATATATATATGTGAGAGATATACATATATATATATATAATTAAATACAAAAAAGCTACCTTGTAATAATTTTCAGAGCGTGACAGAGGGGCAAAAAAAGTGGCAGAAGTCAGGAGAGCAATTAAATTTGGTGGATGGTTTCCAGGGATTTCACACCAACCCTGGCTGAGCGCTCCCCTCCCAGCCCTCCTGACTGATATTAAGCACACACTTAAAGCCTGAGCAGGGTTTAAGCTGGTGCTTAAGAGCTGCACTGAACGGAGCTGAACGGAGCTGCAGCCCCTGCTCCTGCCATGGGATCCGAGAAAGAGCCGAAAGCAGGACCAGCTTCCAGGCTCAGGGCCAAGAAAGGGGAAATGGGAAAAAGGAAACTTGATAAAAGTGCTAATTAGGGTTATAAACGGGCTCTGGATGTTGTTTTGGTCAGTGTCACAACCTTAATGTTATTTCCATGATATCTCCTTTTGTACTTAATTCCCTTTACAAGATGAGGGAAAAAAAAAAGAAAAAAAAAGAGAAAAAAATCACAGAAGATTATTAAAAAATTTCTATTCTTTGCCCGTGCGACGGGAACAGTTCATAGCTCATCAAGTCTGGCAAGGAAACATGTTCTCATTCAGGGTCTTATTTGATTATTTTAATTTTTTTTTTTTAACTTTTTATTTGTTTTTTTTAAAAAGTGTATTACGTACCCAATAAACTGGAACAGCTCTGAAAGAAGAAAGAACTGATCCATTGGTTAAATATTTATATTTTTTTTTCTTCTTTTTTTGTATGTTAAAATAAAATAAAAAAAAAAGAGGTTTGTACAGATTCCATAGACCAGAAAACCCTCTGAAGTAGTAAAGAACCCGCTGTTTGCTGGGGCAAACTCTTGGATATTTGTGTTTTAAAAAGAGAATTAATGTGCCAGAGGGGAACGGCTCCGTGGGGTGGCTCTGGATTTGGTATCTATTGGCAGTAGAGGCCTTTGCTCTGCTAGGGATGGGCATCCTTAAAAATCTGCTCTGGCAGAAGCTGCTGTGCATGCAGAACAAGCTGGTTGCAAGCGTTAACCATTCAGCATCACCACGATTCATCTTCCAAATCACCTCAAAACGGGCCCATCGGCGGGGTGGGGCCGTTCTGCTTCAGTAAATAAATAAAGGGTAAAATAAGACACAGAGTTCACTGGTGAGTTCCAGACCCGGCACGTGCAAAGGAGCAGAGCCCAAACCGCTCCTGCATCCCCAGAGCTCCACGGAGCCAAACCAGCCAGGACCGGCCTTGGGATGGGGTGGGGTGGGATGGGAGGGGATGGGATGGGATGGAGGGGCTTTATCTGAGACCAAGAAATGACAGAGGAACAAATGATGGTCGCAAGGCTGAGTTTTCTTCCACTCTGAAGGCGAGGGGGGTGTTTACAGAAGGGCTTCTGCAGCCCAGCCAGGAGGGGTCTCAGGCACAGCTTTGCCGGGCGGGATGGAAGGATTTAAAGCGAGCAGGGGCCGGCTCGTCCAGCGAGAGACACCGATCCTGGCCCTGGGTCTGCATTCCATACATTCCTATGTTCTCGCAGTTCAATCTTTGAAGAAGAACCTTGTTTTTTCTGTCCTTTTTTTTTTTTTTTTTTTTTTTTTTAAAGAAAAGTGCTTTGCTGGGTCCTGCAGGAGGGAGGGATGCTCGCCGTCCGGGTTCGCTCTTTCGAGTGATCGTTTCTCTCTCCCTTCGAACGCCCCTCCCCTGCTCGAGGAAGTGCTACTTTCACTTACAAGTTCAGGGTAAACACGTTTTTGTTTTGTTTTGTTTTGTTTTTTTTCAAATGTAAAGCAGTTTCAACTGTTTAAAGCACAACCATAGGCAACCAGAGGGATGCGAGAAAAAAAAACAACCAAGCACTTTGCAAGAATTAAATAAAGCATGTAATAAATACGAATCATAAACTTCTGTACACAGGAGCAAGGGTTTGGGGTCTTTTTTTCTTCCTTTTTTTTTTTTTAATCATTTAATCGATATAAAAAAAAGTTTTTTCTGGGTTTTTGTTTGTTTGTTTGTTTTCAGTGCATCTTCTTCCTCTTAAAATGCTTAACCCTTTCCTTTCTGCATCTCTCAGGCCCGGAATTACGCACACCTAAATGGCAAAAAAAAAAAAAAAAAAAAAAAAAGACAAAGGTCTAACAAACCCCCTTTCCAAAAAACCTCTAAAAAAATATTCACAGCCTCAAACAGTTTTGTACATTTCAAGCAACAAAAGGTATAGAAAAAGGCACAAGTAACTGCATACATGTGGAGATATAATACCAGACTGGGACAAAGAAAACCAGGACTTTTCCATGGGTTTGGTCATTCACTAGAGTGCTCCTTATGGGTGATTATACTAAAGGAAATAGTGTTGAAAATGTCTGCTGATTTTACAGAGGAAGCCTAAAGGCGGAACAGATGGAGGTTTTTAAGTACTTCCCGCGTTTTCATCCACCTTTTTTTGAGTCTGACCTAAATCTGCGTGCTCTGGGTGTGGGCTGCTCTCTCTGGAGGTGCCCCCTGGGCGCCCGGGCTGCCCGGAGAGGCTCCCGGTGCGCAGGGACAGGGGGTGGCTGGGCGGGGGCTCCGGGGGGCAGTCGTCGTCACACGGTGGGGCATCTGAGATGAAAGTGCAGGGTGACTCAACAGAAGTGCTCGAGCTGCCAGATTGCTTCTTGCCCGTTTGTTTTAGGGGTTCTTCCTCCCCACTCGTCGGAGGCTTTGGACAGTGCTCGTGGGGCGTGCTGGGGCTGGCCGGGCCCGCCTGCTCCTCCGGGCTGGGCTCAGCCAGCGCTTTTACCCTGTGTTCCTCCTGCTCTGTCTGCTGCTGAAGCTCATTAGTCCTCATTTTCTCCTCCAAATAACCCCCACTGGGCTCCGGGGACAGCGTGTACTTGGAAAGCTTTGCAGCCGGGGACACGGACGCCGCTGGGATTTGTGGCTCCTCGTCCCCCCTGGGAGCCCGGCCGAACTCCGTCACGTCTCCGCTTCCAGGGGCGAAGCACCCGGCTTGCAGGGACACCACGGAGCCGGGCACCAGGCTGGGGTGGGAGCTGGGCCTGGCCTGCACCATCTGGATGCCCCCGATGGGGATCATGGGGTAGGGGGTCCTGGTGAGCTGCTGCGAGTGCAGCGGGAGGTGGCTGAAGACGTTCTCCTCCCCTCGGCCCGGGCCGTGGATGTCGTGCGGTGCCTGCAGGGGCCGGGAGCACACGGGCTGTGTGGGGCCAGGGGAGCGTGGTGGGCTCCAGGGCTCGATCTTCTGTGCCAGAGAGGGAAGAGAAAGAGCGGGATCAGTGCAGGGAACGAGTTACACCTTCAGCATCACTAACGCTCGCCACGAGGACGGGGTTTGGCGTTTCATTCTAATCGATCAACCGCAAGATGTGGAGCTCCAGACCTTTAAGGGAAGGAGCAACACAAACCCACAGCATTTGCCTTCTGGGTACAGATGTGCCGTGGTCTGCTGGGGCACAGATCCAGGGCTTTGGCTTAGGCTTGGATCACTGTAAAATCAGAAGTGGTTTGGGTTGGAGGGGACCGTTAAGGGCCATGTAGTCCAACCCTCCTGCCACAACCAGGTTGTTCCAAGCCCTGTCCAACCTGGGTTTGAATGTTCCAGGGATGGGTCACGTGCTACCTCCCTGGGCAGCCTGTGCCAGGGCCTCATCACCCTCCTAGTAAGAAATTTCTTCCCTGTATCTCATCTGAATCTCCCCTCTCTCAGTTTAAAACCACCACCCCTTGTCATCCTCTCAGAGCTGCCTCTGAAACCCCGGCAGAGGATGGCAGTGGTTGCTGCCATCAGAGCTGCTCAGGAGCCCTTTTCAGCCCTTTTCCAGCCCTGGGTTCCTGAGAGCCTGGGCTAATGTTATTTATTTTTTACTGCACTCTCTTAAAGCAGGATTGCACCCTCACAGCTGCTGATTGCAGGGATGCTTCAGACCGAGCGAGAGGCATCGTCAACTCCGGTTTGACCAAAGCACACCCAGTGTGGCCCCACCAACCACCCTCATGGGTGAGATTTTCTCTCGAAACCAAGGGTTAAGGCCCTACAATTTTACCTTTTCCTCTTTCTCTCTCGGTGCTTCCCATAGTTTCCTAATGTACATCATGGAGAGATATGGGGCTAAACAGAAAGGGATTAATTAGTGATGAGGTCACAACTAAACCCCTACACAGGACTCCCAAGAAGGGGAAGCAACAGAAACTGAAATCAACTTTCCACTGAGATGGGGTCAGTGATAAAACGGGAGGATCCACTTAATTTCTTTGTAGGATTATGGAGAACAATCTCCTGACCCTGTGAGCTGGATCTCTATGAAGAGGTGACAGAGGAAAGCAGCAAAAGAGGGCAGAGAGGAGAAAAAGCAAGAGCCACCAAAGATGGTGGGTACTTGGTCAGCCCAAACACTTGCTAAAGGTCACTTATCCACATGAAGTCTTGGCCAAATCACTGTGGGGGTGCTGGGAACCCCCAAACAAATGATATTAATGGTGCAACAGCCACCAGAAGGGGGAACTGCCTTCTGTAAGGGCCAGAGGGAAGAGAGATGGTCGTGGTGGGACTTGACAGAAAGCCTTACACTGAAACTAAGCTAAGAGCATCTTCAAGCTCTGTTTAGGATCTGATAAATCCACCTCTGGTCTTTCTGCCTCTTGTAGCCTTACCAGGAATGTAATTTTTTCAGTGAAAGCCCTGCTGTCCATCTGGCTGAGATATGGGAAGTTTTCCATTCAGGTCTTTTTTGTTGCTTTGGAGACACGTGAGCAAAGTAACTCTGGAAGCATGAAAGGAGCAGGAACAGGGAGTAAAAAGGTGTTTGAGAAGAAGCTGAAAGGTGAGAATGGGCAGAAAAGCAGGGGTTTATTATCTCCTGCTGTGCACTTGGAAGCTTGGGGGAGTTGCTCCAAGTAGTGGCAGCAGGCAGTTGTCCTGACAGAGATGCTTCAGGGTGGAAGGACCCAAGGAGTTAATTGACAGGAAAGGGAAATAGCATTAAAGGAAGCAAAGGTTTGGACCTAAAGGAGAGGACAGTCTCTGAGAAGGTGAGATAAGGAAGCAGAAGGAAGGCAGCACCACGAGAACATCATCATGGACACAGAAGGAACACAGAGGGGCTTGTCTGGAGAGGACCTGGGTCAGGATCTGCCATGGCAGGTTCTCCAGGGGCTGTGGAAAGGCCTCTCTCTTCCCAGTGCAGCCCCTAAGGGCTGGAGTCTCTCCTCACACCAGTGTCCCAGCAGAGCAACTCGTGTTCACTAGCACAAATTACAGCAGAGCCAGGCACTCCAGAGGGATGGGGAATGTTCCACCACACCAGACATTAACCTGCCTGGAGCAGTGGGAGGAACATGCCACTCTCCTCTACCCGTAGGAACTGTTATGTCCAGCAGAAACATTAAATAGTTTTCTGGACCCAGTGGGAAACACCTCTCTGTGCTGAAGAGAGAAGCGAGATGAAATCAGAGATGTCCAAACAAACATTGCTCAGCAGTTCATCTAACAGAGGTCTAACACGGCCCAGGAGGCAGCAAGGGCTGTTTCAGATCTGGTTCAGGCCACGGACCAGTGAAAAACTGGCACAGCTTCCCCCCAGCTGGGGAGATCTCAGGGAGGGGTTTGAAATTCCCAGGAACAAAAAGGCTCTTGGTGACAATTAGTCACTAATTGGTTGTCCTTGCTGCTTGTCTCAGCAGGACACAAGTTGGGTCAGGAGTGGAAATAACCCCTTGGAGAAGGGACAGCTTTATTTCTCTTCAGCTGAGAAGGGCAGGACCCAAATGGGTGCAAAGCCCATTGCACTGTCCCTTTCCTGTGACACTGGTGACAGAGTCACTGTGCACTTGGCGTGACAACCTTCCTTAAATGCCACATCACAGAACGTTCTGTGGGGTCTGGGAGGCAGGAGGGGACTGAACTTACCAGCTTGGACTCGTAGAGCTGTATGTTTTTGCCAAAGAACCTGTGAGGTAGAGGCATCGAAGATAATATCCCGTGCTGGGCTTGATATGAGCTTGGAACTTTGTCATCTGCTGCTGATTTGCTCGTGCCAGGCAAGTCCTCTTTCCCTGGGAATGGGTACCTGGGCGACTCCAGGGAGCCTGGAGACAAGACTTTCTTCAGGGATAAGTATCTGACGGATGACATGTCTCTGCTGGGTGATGAGTGTCTCCCAGGGGAGACCTCTCCTTCTGGGGGGAGGTGTGTTCGTGGGGACAGCTCTCTCCTGGGGGACAGATGCCTGCTGGGTGACAGCTCCAGCCTCGGTGACACACATCTGAGAGGAGATGCCTCTCTCCTGGGAGAGACCCGCTGGCAAGGAGACAACCCCCTCCCTGGGGACAGGCACCTCAGAGGGGACAGTTCTGCCGTGGGTGAGAACCTCTTGGGCGACGTTTCATTTTTGGTTAACAAGTGCTTTCTGGCCATCGCTGGCCTGCTGCCACCACCACCCCTGCCAGAGTCCTGGCTGGGAGACCACCTTCTCCTTGGGGAGGTGTCTTTTGAGGTTGACAGGTCCATGGCCAAGGACATCTGTGGCCTGGTGACGGACTCTCTTTCAGCAGGAGCCAGTTGTTCGGTGGAGGTCAAAGCTGGTCTGTGGAGACTCAAGAAGCTGTGGCACACAGCAATGTCACTGCTGTCTGCTGACCACTTGGTTTCCAGCCCCGAGGACGAGGCCTGCTGGCCTCCACCTGCTTTTTGGGTGCTGGAAACGGTCTCTTGGGCTAAGGATGATGCTGTTTCAGTGCCTTCCTCTTGAGAAGATGGAGAGCCACCTGAAGAGTGCAGCAGGAGGGTGGTGTGCGTGCCTTCAGGCAGCTTCAGAGGGGGCTCATCTTGGCTCTCCTCTTCCTCCTCATCCTCCTCATCCTCATTGTCATCATCATCGTCAGATTCCTCGAGGTCTGAAAACTGGTGTTCCTCAACTGGCTCGGATCCCTCCCGCCCCTCAGAGTCCTGGAATAGGTCTTCACTGGTTCCTGGGGGGATGGAAAACACAAAACAGAGTGTCAGACACACACACAGGGTCTGTGCTAAACCTGCTCTGTTCTAAGGGCACAAGAAGGGAGAGGACCTGGCTCTTTTCTACATCTGACCAGTCCCGCCCTCTGTGCCAACTCCACTCCCAATATTCCCAGTAGACCCGAGTGAATCCCACCACTGGGACCTCCTGCTCGACCCCAATCTCCATTCCAGCCATTGCTCTGTCAACACAAACAGAAAAAGGCCTTTAAGAGATGAGGGAAACACCAGCACTGTCACCTCTGAGTGGGGGATTTTATGAGTTTTTCTTGCGATGGTGTCTCCAAAATAACATCAGAGTTCCCAATCTCCATGTGTTGGGCCTTTTCCTGCCCAGATTTCCTGACAGTTAAACATCAGCAAGACAGGCCTTTTACTAAAAATGAAACAACAGGGTTGACAGAGCCTCTGTGGATTTTCTCTTCACTGGATAAATTCCAGCTGGAATACAGATACTTCCTTGTGCAGAGGGTTTGGGGTCTGTACGTGGAAGGCCTTGCAGGAGGATGCTTTGTAAACAAGGGCTTGTAAACACTGAGGGAGATACAAAAAGCAAATTCTAAAGGGATGTAAATATTTCTGCAGGTAAAAAATACAGCATCTCTCTCCTGCTCTGAGGGCCAGCAGGAGCCTTCTGAGCTCAGCAGGAGCTCCGGGGCAGATCCCTGCTGGCTCCCCTCTGCTCTGCTCTGCTCTGCACAGACAAATCTGCTCCTCCCCGGCCAGATGTGCAGCGATCCTGGCAAAGGGCGAGCTCAGCCCCGAGAGGTCCATCGGGAACAGCCACTGGATGTCACTGCAGCTCAAGGAACTGCTCTGCCAGCAGGCTGCGAGTCCCCAGCGCTCTGGAGGGGCCGATAATCACCAGTTTACAGAGCTCTGCCTGCGCCGAGCACCCAGAGGAGGGGGCAGAGCTGCCGGGACACGCTTGGCCCCTGGCTCTGGAAGCCTGGATGCTGCTCTGGCACCTGTGTGGAACTAATTGCAGCACTGCTGGCCCCTCTCCCCATCAGTTCAGCCCGGGACACTGTTCCCCCTCTGCTGAGCACTGGAGCAGTTTCCCTTTCAGAGCTGCCATCTGTCAGCAGGAGCAGCAAAGGGAGCTGATCCTGAGATCACCTGGGAGGTGGCTTGCAGAGGGGACACAGCCACACAGCAAGAACTCCCTCTGATCCAGGAATAAAACACCTAATTTTGTTTATTTTGAATACCAGGGCCTTACTAAATGCTCGGGAAGTATTTGGCATTACCGGCGACTGGCATTTTCCCATGGCCGGTGATCCGTCCAAGAGCCAGCCTGAAAACTGAGATGGAAAGGAGCTTCTCATTCGCTTCCCATCCCATTCCAAAATATCTGCTAGCTGGCCCATGCAGCCAGAACTCTGCCAGCGTGGAGGGAAGGGACAGCTCTCCACGGACAGCCCGGCCTGCACTGCAGAGCCCTCCCCAGTGCTGGGCCCAGGAGCCAGCGCAGGGCTGTTTGCAAACTCCCCAAAAGGAACTGAGCTCAGAGCAAACCATTCCAAACAAGCAGCTCTCCCAGCTGCAGGGTGAGCCCTGCATATTTCTGGCCTGCAGAAGAGGAATGTGCTTCCCCAGCCGAGCCAGGAGCCAGCCCCTGGTTGTGACGGCGGGGTTGGACATCTCGAGGGGTTTGGGACAGGCAGGGCCTCACCCACGGAGAGCCTTGCCCTGGGTGGGCTCAGTTTCTGGCCCCAGTCACACAAGGGGTGGGCACTGGCCAAGGTCAGGAGTGGGGAGTGAGGGGAACATGAGGCCAGTTTGCATTTGCCACCACGGGAAACGTTTCAGTGAGTCCTGGGACGGCCCCAGGGGAATCCGCCTTGGCCTCCTGACACGATTCCAGCAGGCAGGAACAGAGCTCAGACCTCAGTCCGGGCTTCTGGCAACCCAAATCCATCTGCTGAGCTCATGGGGAGAGAAAGGGCAGGTCAGGAGAAGACAGAGAGGGAGGGAGGGATGGAGGAAGGCAGAGAGAGGGAACTAGTGGGAATGTGTCCTGTCGATGGCTCTGGCTGAGGGTTCCATTCCACTTCATTTCCATTTCATTTCACTATTTATTCTAAGGTTATTCCACCCAAGTGGTAGCAAAACCAAGGCAGGAGTGAGGAATCAGACTCCAATCTCCTTTTATAGTAACACCCCTTGCTTTCTTCTGCCCCTTAAATAGAAATAAAAACAATCAAGTGAAATACAACCCCAGTTTAAAATAATCCAGGGAGTTTTAGGAACTGCTGCTCCCCAAAGGAAAGCACAGCAACCTTCCTGCTCTGCCTTGTGTCACGTGGAAATTCTAGTCCTTTTTTTAATTTTTTAATTAAAATAGCCCTTTAATTTCTAGTTCTGAGCCTCTTTGCAAAGAAGGGAGAGGACACTGTGGTTACTCTTTGCAACCCACTACTCTGAGCACAAGGGTGTGACACAGCTGTGAGCTCTGATTTCTCATGCACCTTTCTGCCATTTTTATGTTATTTTCTCATCCATCCAAATAGCCCCAATCATTACAGTACAGAATCCCATTTTCTGACCATCTTCTTGGCTGCTTTAGTTACTGTTTACTTGACATTTGTGAGCAATGGGCCTCCTTGCTCATGGAGCAGAATTTCAATTTTCGGTAGAAGTTCAGCGCTGGCTTTAACCAGGTGAAAGAGAAGCTGGGAGGGGAGCAAGGAAACATCCCCTGATCCCACACGTTCTCAAGTGCACCTTTCTGCATTCCTGCCTGGCAGCCCATCCCCTTTACACAAACACAAGGGATCTGCCTCGATGGGAGGAAACGGGGACCATGTATTTTTATTTTCCTTTTTTTTTTTTTTTTCAATTCTAAAATTACACGGATTTCTTGCATAATGCAATAAATTCCAGACAGCACAACACATTCCAGGGGCAGCCTCCCAGCCAACAGCAACATGGGGAGGGGAGTCCCTTCCAGGAACCCTCTGCAGCCAGGTGGGGCTCAGCACGTGTCCAGCCTCAAACACCCAGGGATCGGTGATTTCCTGGTGGCCAACACCAAGTGAAGGTCCCATCCCTCACCTGGGGATGCCCACCAGCCTTTCTGGGGATTTTTAGACCTTCTTTATCCATGAGGCCAAAGGCTGAGAGCAGCTCAGCCTCATCCCCTACCAGAGCTCCCTTTTCCTAAGCCTGGCAGGGCTTTCACACCAGAGGGGATTTTCCCCACGCTCACCCTGTGTGACCTGGGGGTGAATGGCTCTGGAATCACAAAGGAAAACATTCTCCCTGGCCTGGTGAAGGGAGCCCTGGTGTCTTCAGAGCTCCAGTTCCACAGAGCATAAATAGGATGTTGGATTTTCAGGTTTGCAGCAGTGACACTCAATTAATGTGATTCATTAGTTCCATAATGGAAAGGTTTAAAATAACAGTTGTTCTTTCAGAATTATGCAACCAATATTTCACAGCCACTTTCCTCTTTCCCTAACCAGCTTTGATTATAGAATCATGAATGGTTTGGGTTGGAAGGGACCTTAAAGCTCAGCTCATTCCACCCCCTGCCATGGGCAGGGACACCTTCCACCAGCCCAGGTTGCTCCAAGCCCTGTCCAGCCTGGTCCTGGGACATTTCCAGGGATCCAGGGGCAGCCACAGCTTCTCTGCCCAACCGGTGCCAGGGCCCAGGAATTCCTTCCCAATATCCCATCTCTCCCTGCCCTCTGGCAGTGGGAAGCCATTCCCTGTGTCCTGTCCCTCCATGCCTTGTCCCCAGTCCCTCTCCAGCTCTCCTGGAGCCCCTTTAGGCCCTGCAAGGGGCTCTCAGGTCTCCCTGGAGCCTTCTCTTCTCCAGGGGAACCCCCCCAGCTCTCCCAGCCTGGCTCCAGAGCAGAGGGGCTCCAGCCCTGGGAGCATCTCCATGACTTCAGTGACCTGCAGAAGTGTCACCTACATGTGATGTAAGAGCCATCAGTGAATCAATTATTTAAAGTGAGTTCCTGGGCTGAAAGATTTTTCCAGCAATCCCACATGGGAGCAGCCTCCCCCTGCCACTGCTCCCAGCACACCAACACCAGCATTTCTAAGCTTTACTATCCAAAAATTCAGACATAAAGCACCTTGGAGGTGCCAGTGGGCAATGCCTGGTGGGCACAGTGTCCCCAGCCCTGTGACAGCCTGGCACCACCCCAGCACAAGGAGCTGCAGCTGCAGCAGAGCCAACCCTGTCCTGCAGGGAAACACAGAGTGATTTTTAATCACCTGTGGAGGAGGAGTGTGTGACACTGCCCATGTGCCAGGAACAGCCCCATTCCCAAGAGAGCCTGGGATGGACCTGCCCCCAGCAGGGGAGCGGGGTGATAAGCAGTGTTTGTTGTTCCTGGCCAGTTCACATTCCCTGGCTCCCACTCCAGGACTGGCTCAGCTGATGTTCACTTGACAAAAATAACCCTGGTGCCCTGTGATTGCTGGAGCTCATTTTAACCCCTTGCCAGCAGCCCCTCGTGGGCCGTGGCAGGATGAGAACCAGGCACGGGGGAACCAAACTCATCCAGGCTGAGACAGGGGATGAAACAGGGAAAAAGCTGCTGAAGTCATCCAAAAGGGCTGCTTTCCCCCTGGGATTGCTGGGCTGGCAACCAGGAAGGGGCACTGGTGTTGTGATCATGCAACACAAACAGAAACACCCCCACCCCCACCCTGCTCTGTGGCACCGAGTGTTTTACCCAGGAATAACTTCACTGGCACAGAGACAGTGGGGTGGGCTCTGCCTGCAGATGGGCCCAGTGCCTCCAGAATTTGGAGCAGCCTGGGAGCAGCCACACACAGGAAGTTGGACAAGTCCCTACAAGATGATCCTGGTGGAAAAGTCCTTCTCTGAAGGCTCCTTCAGGAGAAAAGTGTCACCTGTGCTCCCAGAGCCTTTTCCCCTCGAGAGCTGTGCAGTGTTTCCTGTAAATGTAAATGGCCTGCTGAATGCAAAAGACCCCAAATTTCATGGGGGCTTGAGCTCTTCTGCCCCTAAAGCTTCGTCCCCATCATTCCTCTGCAGAAGCTCCATCCCTGAATACTCAGGGTCTCACTGAAGGAAAGAGAGCAGCAATCACCAAAGCATCCAAGTGCTCCCTGGGGACCCAGAGCCCAACCCTTCCCAACTGCCAGAGGGCATTTTGGGTTAAATGATTGGGGGCTGCTCTCTGACAGAGAGTCCTTCTCCAAGAAGGACTCCTGAACCTCCAGAGCCCTGGACAGACTCTGTGTGTGTGTTTGTGCAGAAGGAGATGAAAGAAGGAAGCAGGTGAGTCAGGGGAAATGTATCTCCTCGTAAAGCACTCAGAATGATGCCACTAAATGTCAGAGCCCTGTGTTATTTGGGTTTTCCTGGCTCTTTCCCTGCTGAGAAATCTTCCAGATAGTTTCTGACCTGGATGATTCACCTCCATCCTGCCCATGCACACGTGAGGGTAAGGGATGAGGGAAGCAGGTTCCCCCCGGGACTCGCAGTGCCTGCAGATGCAGCCCAGGTTTGCACTGGGAATTTGGAGCAGCCTGGGATCAGCCACACACAGGAAGTTGGACTGGTCCCCAGAAGATGATCCTGGTGGAAAAGTCCTTCTCTGAAGGCCCTTTCAGGAGAAGAGCATCACCTGATCACTGATATTGCTGCACTGCTGGTGTCCATCCCCACCGCCTGCAGGGGCCATGGGCTGAAGGGTCACCCCCACACTCACTCTCACCACTCTGGCTCCAGCAAAATGTGCTGCCAGACCCTAATCTGAGGTGCCAGGGCTGCTTTTTCTCCTCCACCCATGAAACTGTGCTTGCAGCACCAAGGTGGGGGTTCACAGCCTCAGGAAATGCATCCTCGGGGTGGGTCTCATTTTGCTGCTTCGAGACTCCCTCCACATCCAGGAGAGACCTGGGCTCTTCCAGAGCAGTCAGGCTCCTCAGCTCCCTGCTAGAGACACCCCAAAATACCTCCTCATGCCGCAGATTCACTATTTATTATGATGCACAGAGCCCACACACAGTGCTGGGCCACCCACCCCTGTCCTCTGTCTGCAGCCAAAACACTTCAGAGAGAATCACAGAGTCACTGAGGGCTGGAAAAGACCTCCAAGATCACCAAGTCCAAGCATCAACCAGCACCACCACTATGTTCACTCCTAACACACAACCCCCAGTAAGGAGACAGGAGCTCCCAGCCTGTCCCACTGGTGCAGCCCCCCAGGATGGCCCCAAACCCCACCCCACACACAGAGAGAAATCTCCCCTGGCTGCTGGAAGGAGCCTGGGCTGAATAAAACCTCCCCACATCTTTGGAAGGGTGATCCATGGAGCCCCTGCCTGGATGCCTGGATGCATCCTGCCCTCTCTCAGCACCAACAGCAGGTTTATAACGTGAAGGGTTTTACCTTCTTCGGCTTCCAGATCCACCAGTGAAGATACCAACACGCCCATCTCCTGACATTTTTTGCTGTGGGCCTTTGACTTCATGTGTTTAGTCAGATTCCCTGAAAAGAAGCAGAAAATAGATTTTGGTCAAACATGGCTCTTTTTTTTTTTTTTTAATTTGTATTTCATTAGTTGCAAGTTAAAACTGTGGCTCTGAGCCAGACAAAGATCCCTGACTGTGCCCAGGCCACTGTCCTTGACAAACACCAGGCCAAGTCCTCCTTTTGTCCCTTTGCTGCTGCACTGGGGTGCCAGAGGAGGTGCTGGAAGGAGCTTTGTGGGACCTTTCAGGTGTTGTGCAACCCAAAAAAGCTGTTGGGGCACAGTTTTGGGCCTGGGGGGAAGAGAAGTCCTGGGTTGCTCTCAGCTGTGATGGTGCAGCAAAGGGGAAAGGGTAGGAAAGTAGGGAAGAGAAACATCTCAGTGCAGCATCACCCCCCCACCTCATCCCAGCACACCCATCTGGAGGTGAGAAGCTCCTCAGCACCACAGGGTTGGCTCCACCCTGGTCCACAAAACCTGCAGATGTGGCACTTGGGGACACGGTTTAGTGGTGGCTTTGGCAGTGCTGGCTTAGGTTGGACTCAGTGATCTTAGAGGGCTTTTCCAACCTCAACAATTTCATGATTCTACAATAAAATGAGGGTTTGAGTTGACAGCAACAAGGAAAAACCATTTAAAAGCCTATTTTTCCCCAGCAGGATGGCTTAGGGGCTCTGGCATGGACCAAAGTGCCAGGGAAAAGTTCTGAGGAGCCTCTGGGACACAGGGGCTGACAGCACTGAGCAAATGAGGTTTTCTTGGGGCCAGGATGGGAAGAGCAGCCCCTGGGAGGGGCAGGAGGGGCTGTGGGGGACGTTGGTCCCTGCTCTGGGCCAGGGGGATGGGAAAACTAGTGAGCATCATGGCCTCAGGGAGAACCTCTCTAATTCCACCTCCCAGGTTAATTAGACAGTTATTAACCCCACTGACAGCCAAGGGAAATGCTGAACAAAGGGGAACATTTGTCCAAGGGGGAAAAGTAGGTGGAACAAAGAGAAAAAATAAAAGGGTAGGAGAAATAAAGATAAAAGGTCCCATTTTACCTGCTGTCTCCACCTATTATAAATATATATATATAAATATATTAACAAATATATAATTATATAAATTTATAATTATATATTTTATATAAATATATTTATAAATGTATATGTATAATCAATCATAAATGGTTTGGGTTGGAAGGACCTTAAAGCCCATCCAGTCCCAGCCCCTGCCATGGGCAGGGCCACCTTCCACCAGCCCAGGTTGCTCCAAGCCCCGTCCAACCTGGCCTTGGACACTTCCAGGAATGGGATTTATGGGCTGAGGAGGATGAGAAGAAACCTGGGCTCTGTTGAAGCTCCACCAAGGGCTGTTTTATAGCCCATCACAGCCCAGGAACTGGCTGAGCATTCCCCATTCCCAGGATGTGCCATCAGCCCTCCTGGTAGCTGACTTGGAGGGCAGGAAGGAACACCAGGCTTGTTTTTCTCTCCAAAATTAAAAAAAAAATCCAACTCAAAAGTGAATTCTCTGACTTTATTCCAACGTTCACTGCAGGCTGAGGTCCCTCAGCTGGTGTCCTGCAATCCACAGAGTCCCCAGGTCCCTGAGCTGGTGGGAGCACAGAGGGCCTCTATCAACCTCTGCTCTGCTGCTCTGGACAGCAGAAATAAATAAGCAACTGTTCAGTGGAGCAGAGAATTACCTGTGACGCCCTCACATCTCAGAAGAGTCCCATAACCACCTAACTCAGTTTCTCTTCAGCCCATGAATTATTTATTTAGCCCATTTTATACAAAATGGAATAGCTCCAACAGGAAAGACCAGGAGAGACAAAGGCTGACTATATATCCTTGTGTATCTGGCACCCAACCTGGATGTGGATTCAAGGGATATTTAATAATTTAAATGCGGCAAACCAGCTCCAGTGAGAGAGATTTATTATTTTTAAGCTGAAATACCCTCAGCCCCACAGTGAGGACACTCAGGTGGGAGGAGGAGGCCAGCTTGGCTCAGGTCCTCGCTCCAAATCAAACCCCTCTTTCTCCACCTTGGACCAGGAGTTTTGTTGTGGACCCAAAGACACCCAGGGAGACGAGAGCTGTTCTCGTGGTCACCTCTGGTTCCAGTGAATCACCATTGTTCCAACAAGAAAAACTGTTTCAGTGAAAAGTCTCCAGCAAGTCCAACTTGTGGCCTCATGGAGCTGGAATTTCATGTTGGATCTAACTTGGAAAAACACAAACTGAGTCAAAGTGTTGAAATGAAGCCCTGCCTGTCCATCACACACATGCCAGCTTGGCTGGTAGAGGGACCCAGCTCTGCTCAGTCACCTGGAATCCCTCCAGGGACAAGAAACAGAAAATCAGCCCCAGAAAACCCTGCTGTGACCAGGGGAGGTTGGTTCTCCCGTGCTCTGTGGCACCCCTGCACTCAGCCGTGGTGCCACGCTGGGATGAGTGGGGAGGGGGCACCCACCAGGAATTTTGGTGCTGCCACAGCCCCCAGACAAGCTCAGAAATTCCCTGTTCTACATCCACCCAGCTTTGGCTGCAGCAGGAGGGGATGACATTAATTCCTGAGGGGATAACATGAATTCCTGAGGGGAGGGGGCTGCTGAATGCACTGTCTGGGGCAGGACTGCAGCCCCTCCAGTGATGCAGGGCAGGGCCAGGGGGATGGGATCACTCGTGGGCATCACGGCCTCACCTCTCTAATTCCACCTCCCAAATGACAGGCAGGTTAATTAGACAGTAATTAACCCCACTTACAGCCAAGGGAAATGCTGAACAGAGGGGAACATTTATCCAAGGGGGGAAAGCAGTTGGAACAGAGAGAAAAAATAAAGGGTAGGGGAAATAAAGCCAAAATTCTCAGCGGCCACCGAGCCCCCCTCAGCTGTCCAAAGGCTGCTTGGACACAAAGGTCCCTCCTGCTGCCTCAGCCCCAGTGCTTTCCCATTCCTCTCCCTCTCCTCTGCTGCTGCAGGAGCAGGGCAGGGATGAGATCTCAGCCCCCAGCCCTCCAGCTCCACCTCCCTGCCCCTCTGCTGTGCCCCAGCTCCCTCCCGAGCTGCAGTTTGGGTTCCCAAACGCTGCCAGAAGCCACCAGTGCCACTTCCCCTTTCCTCTGCCTTCCCTGGAGGCAGCTGTCCCTGTGCAAGGCACCCCTTGGCCGCTGCCCTTCCTTCCCCAGCAGGCTCAGGGGGAGCTGGAGCCACAGCAGGGCAGTGCCAACCCCTGTGCCAACGAGTTCGTGCCAAACACCAAAGCACCAACTCATTGCAAACGTTGCTTTCCTTCCCCCTCTCCTTTTTTTTTCTGCTTTCTCTCTTCCCTCATCCTCCTTTGGCCAAACACCAAAGCACCAACTCATTGCAAGTGTTGCTTTCCTTCCCCTTCTCCTTTTTTTTCTGCTTCCACTCCTCCCTCACCCTCCTCTGTTCACCCACCACTGATCAACAAGATCACCCTGCAAAGCTCTGGGAGCAAATCTCCCCCTGCCCATCCCAGCACACCAAGAGAAATCCCAACAAAACAGGGATGCTGGAATCCTTCCAGGGAAGGGAGATTCAGCAGGATGGATTCCCATCTGACCCCTCTGCATCGCTCCAAAGGGAGTTAAAAGCTGGAGGCTCCGCTCCACCAGCTGAGGAGCTGAGTTATCATCCTGGGAGCAATTTGGAGGACAAGGATATTTATCTTATCAGGGTTCTTCCTCTAGTTTGTGTTTTTTTTTTTAGATCCCTTAATTAATGCTGGCAGGATTAAACTCTAAAGTCCTTCGGCAGATTTCCAGGAAAATCAACACCACTTTGCCTAAGTTAAAAGCTGGATATGAATCCTACCAGGAAAGACTCCCAGCTACTTGTTGCCTTCCAGAGATTTGGCTCCCAACTTAAATAATAATAATAATAATAATAATAAAGAAGAAAACCACATAGCATTGCCTCCTTGAAAACCCTGGGGAAAAAAAAAAACAGATATGAAGGAGCAAGAGAGAAACAACCAGGCAGGGATTTCGACAGCAGAGAACTTCCATTGAACCCTAAGCAGGTAAATGGGTCTCACTAAGGACTGTTCACCAAAAAATTCCCAGATTTGGAATAAACTGGCTGTATTTCCATAATTTGAGGAACTGGAGGAGCCCTGTGCAGCCATTGGAGGAGCACAGGCAGTGTCAGCACAGCTCTCACCACGCCTGCCCACAGCTCTGGGTTCCAGCTGCTTAAGCCCTCCTGATGCTGTGAGGTCTTATTTTGGACTTCAAGCAGCTTAAATCCTTGTGTTGTTTGGAGAAGGCTAAAACTCCAGTGTTCCAAAAGCACCTAAAGCAGCTTAACAGGGACTAGGACTGATTTCCCAGTTCAATTTAAAGAGGGAAATTAATTTTTCGGAATATCCACGATCATATTTGAAAGGTGGTGGAGTTACAGCAAAATGGAGGGAAGGGAAACATTAAGATTCCTGAAAAAAATAATCCTATCTGTGTTGGGGATACACAAAGCTTTCTAGCTCTCCTATTAAATCTGGTCAGTTCAGCAATAACAACAACAAAAAAACCCAAACAAAACCAACTGTGTGACCTGAGCATCAAGGCAGCAACAGGACACAAACACACAGAGAACCAGGCACAGGCCAAAGCTCTTCATCCCAGATAGATCCTTGAAACAGATTTTATGTGGGATTTAAATAACACAGGCCTTGATTTAGGTCTCAGTGTGGAGATAATGTCCCCAGGTGAGACTTTAGGATAAGGAAAGCTTTAATTTATGTCATTCATTGGGCAAAATATTTCATTTTTAATTTTTTTATTATTATCTTTTATACTTATTGACATAAAGATTAAAGGAGAGAATTTGCACTTCAGGCCTGCCTGTACTGACATGGGCTATAAAATATTAGTCACCTTCTGGATCAAACCTATCAAAACTGTTCTTCCAGAAGGGTACCCAGGCTGGGTGTGCAGGTTCCAAAATCCTGGGAATTAGCACATTTTCCATTAAGGCTTGTGCTGAGCCTTTAACAGCAGCACTATTTAGACAAAATCACACTTAATATTTCACTGAGCTCACCAGTCCTTCACTTCCAGCACTCATTTATTTTTTTTTCTTTTTTTCTTTTTTTTTTTTTTTTTAACCTTTCTCTGGTTAAAGAAGCTTTTTTGCTCACAGTGTTTCATCTCCTGTCTGGACCATTGGGTTGTTTTGTGTTCCCAGAACACCACGTCGTGGAAGGGAACAGCAAATTCCTGAGGATAATTTTGTTCTCATCCTGCTGGAGGCTCGAGAGGACCAAGCTCTTCTCCCAGCAGTGGCTCCACAGGGATGCTCAGAGCCTTTCCCTCCTCCCAGTCATTAAGGAAGGGCCCCAGCACACAGGGATATTTTGCAAATCCACCTCTCACTCTGCCCTGCTCTCCCAGCACTTCATTCTCCTGCAGCTTCCAGCCAGTTGGACCCACTCTGTACTTTCCAGAGGAGGCTTAGCAGGAGCTGAGTCTCCTGGAGCAGTAACAACAATACACTGTGCAGCCACAACCTTGCCTTTGAGGGCTGAGGGGGTAATGCTTTTAATATATTAGCATGTTCAATAACCTCCCTGCCTGTCAGGGGCTGATTTAAGGAACTGCAAACTCATTTATTAAAGGAAGGCTGTGGCTGAGGCCATGGAGAAGTCTGGTGTCTGGAAACTGTGAGTGGCCCAGACTGTCAAACGGGTCTCTTCAGCCAGCAGGCACTGGTGTCCTTCACACAAGCACCTTTTAAAGGATTGTGAAGCTCCTCGTCCCTGGTGATCCCCGAGCAGAGGCAGCGGTGCTGGCACAGCGCGTTCCCCGCGCGGGGCCCGGAAATTTGGGGGCAAACTTAAGCAATCAGGAGGTGAGAGGCTGATGGGAGGCTGAACAGGAACAGCAAATAGCTGTGGAGAAGGAGGATGCCTGCACGGGGAGGGGGACATTAATGTGCCAACACTGCCCCCCCACAGCCCCAGGTCACCCCAGAGCAGGAGGGAAAAGGGGCTGGAAAATGAGGGAGACCAGGGAAGGCTGGGCAAGGGAAAAAAAAAAAGCTCTCCCTGACCTTCCTGAAAGGGAAAACTGTAAGACTGCAGCTTTTTCTCCATTTCCTTCCTGCTAAGAAAACAATGAAGAAGCTGCTTAACCTCTTTTAAACAACCTCATGGAGGCCACGGTCACAAACCTCTTCAGGGAGCTCCACAGTGGAGGCAGAGACACCTCATTAAAGAGGCACCTTTATACCTGGTCCAGAAACAGAAAATCAAGACAATCTTTACAAAGCAAATGTCCAAGACTGTTGTTTCCATCAGCTAAATGAGCACACACACACACACACACAAAAAAATGTCATGGATTTGCTTTAAAATAATAATAAAAATAAATTTCCCCTGCAGTTCAGCAACCCAAAGGAACAGCTTTGCTTCCAGGGACAGAAAGGTACAAAAAGCAGACAATTAGTGAAAAAGGGAAAATGTTTTGTTGCAAAAGTTTTCCCAGTTCTTGGAACACAAATATGGATTTTCTGGAGTGGGAGGGGTGGGGGGGGATGAGGTACATTTTAACCAGATAAAGATCCTCATTAAAATTACTAATAAAAACCCATTTAACTGCTTTCAGCCTACTTGAGAGTTTAGAGCATTAGATCATGCTGGAGAGATCTACCACAGCCAGAATGAAGACAGCTCCACAGATATCCCCCTGGAGTTCATGCTGAAGGCTAAAATTAACTTTGGAAAGCTGATTTCTAAAAAAGCTTCAACTCAGCTCATATTTTTGCCAGTGCAGCCCAGTACAAAAAGCTGCAGCTTCTCCATTCTGCAACAAGCTGTGGTTGCAAAACCACCCCCCCTCCCCAGGAGGCTCCCAGTGAATCAGGGCCCAAACAAACCCATTCTAGACTGTCTGCAAAATGAGGGAAAATCCAGTCCTGCAAACCCCCTGCACCTCCAGGTCACCCTCCAGCACCACCAGCACTGATTCTGCAGCTGGTGGTTTTATCAACACACATTTTTTTTTTTTTCATTCTCCAGCAACTCTTCCAGAGGTCCTTGTTGTGTTTTTACCCCAAGCTCTGAGGAGGATCAACACCCCCCCAGAGCACAGCCAGGCTCTGACTGTGCCCCCCTCCCAGCAAAGAGCCCTTTTCATGCAATTCCAAGTCACCATCATGCAGCTATTTATCCTGAAAATCACTGATCCAGGGAAGTTCTGCCCGTTCCATGCATCCACAGGCAAATGGACACTTTCCCATTCAAATCCCAACACGGGGTTGTTGGGTTTGGTTTGGTTTTTGTTGTTTTTCTTTTTTTTGGAAGGAAGCATTTCCATGCTCCCTTCCCCATGCCAAGCCAAAGAAGGGAAGCAACCCCTTGGATGCTGTTTGCAATGGGTACAGTGAGTGCTGACAGATCTTGTGCTTCAAGGGAGCAGAGATGAAGAGCAAAGCAGCCAGAGAGAGAGGTGGTGAAAAGGATGGTTTGATCACAGCATCCTGAATAAAAGCCCGAGAGAAGCATGGTGGGAAGCGAGGTGAAGTGAAGGGAGAGGCTGAATGGATTCACCTCTCAAAGGGAAACCTCAGAACGAAGGAAAAGCAAGAGAGGAAGAGGAAGAAAATGAAGCAGAAATAGCTCCAGGATGGGAGGGTGAGAAAGAACCATCACTCAGATCTGCAGCATGAGAATCTGGCCTCGAATTCAGTCTCACTTCCCCACACTGCCAGTGACAACCAACACGTTGCTGCCCAGAAATCACCCCCCAGCTTTAGCAGCAAAGCTCCAGGCACTGCCCACCCGCAACCACCAGTGTCTGGGTCACTTCTCTAGCAGGGACATGCCCTCCACTGTCCCTTCTGGGCCAGCACACGATGCCACAGCCCAGGCAGCACCCAGTGCCTCCTGCCCACACCCACACCGTGCCACTCCCTTGGGTGACATCGGTTTTTGACTATCCCTGCTGTGGCACCTTCTGAGACCTGCAATGATGGAGCTACAGACAGTGGACATTTTAGCATATCCTGAGTTGGAAGGACCCCCAAAGATCATGCAGTCCAACCCCTGGCCCTGCACAGACACCCCAGCAATCCCACCCTGTCCCTCAGAGCGTTGTCCAAACACTCCTGGAGCTCATTATTTACATCAAATTATAATCAAGAAACTCAACTCCTCATCTTTGTTACAAGACTTGCTGCACCCAAAGATGGAGAGGACACTGGTCAAACCCACTCCCATGAGAAGTTAAAGGGACCTGGGCACCTCTGGCACTTCTGAAAAGTCCCATTACCCACTGATTGTTGGTTTTTACATGTTCCTGACAATGTTCACTCACACACTCACTGAGGCAATGACAAAGGGCTCTTGCAAAGAATATCTAGTGGCAGTGAGGCTGTGGATCATTAATGACTAATTAATGGCAATTAATGTCCTGGAATGGAGGCCTTTAGAGAACAAAAGCCTACTGATATGATATAGAAAATGTGGAAGCCACATGCAGCTGAGGGGGATGAAGATGGGCAGTGCCAACAGATCTCGAGAGCACCAGCACGAAAAGCCACCCAAAGATGCATCCAGGTGCTCCATGAGGGATGTTTGCCTGGAGCTCCTGCTCTCATTCTGGGGTGGTTTTGGGTGTAAACCCCGTGGTTCAGGCTCATTCCCTTTAAGAAGCACAAGTGGGATGGTGCAGGCCGGAACGTGCAGCCACAAACGCAGGGCTCTTCTGAAAACACCAGCCACTTCCAGGCTCCCTCATCCCCCTCCCTCCAGCTCCTGGGAAGGCTTCCCCTTCCCCTGCGCCCCCAGGAAGGCTCGTTAAGTGAGAGCAGAGAGGGGGGCCACGAGCTCTTACCTTTGGTTTTAAAAGCAAAGTTACAGTACTTGCAGACGTACGGCCTGACGTCTGTGTGCGTGCGAATGTGTTTCTTCAGCATGCTGGGTTTCTTGCAGCGAATTCCACACTCCTCACAAACATACTTCCCTCTTCCACGGCCTCGCACATACACATACTCTTCGTTTGATTTGTACCTACGAGCGACAGGTGTCATGATAAAGGCAAAAAAAAAAAAAATACCCAAAAAAAAAAAAAGAGCAGATTCCCACCTCCAAAAGAAGTCACCGGTTGTGTCACCGACACCCCCACGGGGCTCGTTTGCCGTTCGGTAGCTCTGGGTAAGCAGCCTAAATGCAAAATATCTTCAGAAGCTTTTGTGTTTTGCCTCGTCTGGAATGTGTTGTCGTGCCCTACATCTGCTCCTGTGTGCGGGCAAACAGCCCCAGGGCTGAGCTCAGTCACCCAAATGTCCGGGCATTTGGTGTTCCCCAGCCTCGAACACAAAGGGAGGCACTCGGGGTGCTCTGGGCAAGGTGTGCCCCCGTCCAGCCCAGCTGCCTCAGTCATCTCTCTCCCACAAAACATGCCCAGTCTGTCCCTGCACCGTGAAACGTCCTGAGGAACCTCCTGGGCTCCAACCTGGCTGCATCCCAGCTAAACCTCCTGGGATCCAACCTTCCCACCCACAAAAGCCACCTGAGAAGACACTGATGCCACACTTCAAGCTGTGATGCCTGCCCAGGCTCCTGATAGGATGGGACACCCAGAATGGACACAAAGAGAAGAAAACATCCATATTTTTGGATAAATAAATTGTGCTACCACTAAATGTAACCAGCACAGACTCCAGGCTCTTTCATCTTTGGCACGATATCATGGCTTAGGTTTACCCAGGAGACTGAGATTGGTCATCCATCCTTCCTTCACATTATACATTCACTTCTTTTCTGTCCAGGCAGCATGATGGGGGTTTGAAAAATACTTGTAAGACTGAGACAAGTCATTTAGTCTCCTGCTGCTCAGCAAATGAAGTCTGCAATTTCCTGTACTTGCAGCACAAGAAGAATAAGGTAACACAAAATTGGTCCCCTCAGATTTCCAAGAGGCCGCGTTTTTGAAGCACTGTACTTCTTGCAACTCATTTTTCTATCCAGTAGGAATTAAGTCTGGTCTTCAGAAATCTCTAAACATCCATCTTGGAAAATCAGGCCTTCTAAAGCCCTCTTAATAGGGGATCCAACGACATACAACACCATCAGTCACCTTTTAGTATCTTCCCCATAAAGCCAGTTCCAAACCAGGATGATGAGAAACCAGCAGCCAGACTGAAGAATAATTGAATAAAAACAGCTGCACTAGAATAGATTGAGCAATTAAATAAGTGAATATAGAATAAATCCTAAACCCCTATGTATTCATAATGAAGGAAAAGAAAGTAAGTTAAAACTGAGTAAAAAAAATACACAAAGATCATTAATCCAGCCCTGAACTGATGGGAGGAGAATGTCGTGGTCTGCATGGGATGCACCCATGGAAATACAACCCAGTTACCTGCAAGAGTGGATTTAGAGGCAGGTAAGTCACAAGGACCCCTTGATGTCCCACCCAGGCAGAACATTGTTTCATTGCTTAAGAAGAGACCAGGCAATCTCAGCTCCACGTGGGTGTTTGGGGGACCTGCTACGCCTGAAATTCAGATTAATCTTCCTGGGTGGCCCCTGGGAGGGGTGAGCTCAGGACTAAACCCTTCCCCTCCTGCCAAGTGGTGCCTGAGCTCCGTGGCAGAGGGAGAGCAGATGCTGAGAGGATGCTGAGTAGCTCATTCATTCAGGTGATGAGGTCACAGACTGAGGTTTGGACACAGACTAGAGAAGAGAGAGGAAAATGGGTGTCTAGGGAGCCCCAGTTTGTTCCAGCAGCAGCACCACCAGGTCCTGTTGTCCAACATGGGAGGGAACAGTTTGTGTTTCTGTCCTTCAGCATCAGGAATTCTCTAGATCACAACCAGGGGCATCTGGTAGCCCACATACTCTATTTTATCTCCTGTGATTGAAGCCACAGCAATACCATCTACTCCACGCCATTCCCAACCCTCCAAAAAACAAACTCGACCCCAAAAAATCTCCAAACCCCAACATCAAAGCCCTTCATCCCAAGGTTCTCATTATCTGGCCAGAGGGGACTGAGCTGAGGTCTGCAGAGCTCCCACTGTCTCCCAGCCTCCAGCCCAGTATGCCCAGTTCTCTCCATTCCAGGGCACACATAACTCATTGTTAGGGATGGCCCATGTCCCTTTTTCAGTTGCTGACTTAATTTTCAAGCAGCAAAAGGAGCAAAAGGAATCAGGAGTCCTGATTTCTCCTCTTCTGTTCAGGTTTGTATTTGAGGTTTCTTTCTCGCCCTCCTTTCTCCCTGTCATTGTGCTGGTAATCACCTGGCCATTTAAAACATGAAATTGCTCCTTTATCAGCCTTGTACTTGCACTACCCCTAATTACACTCTCACATGGAAATCTCTGAGCAAGTTCTTTGTGTCCAACAGTCCCTTCATCAGCCTCATTAAAGCAATTGGGGCTGGCTCCTCCTGCAGAAAGGGGGACATTTGATTTAATCTGAAATTAAACACTGCAGCTTATCCGACACTCTGGGAGACTGAGCCATCCTTCAGCACAGGCATCTTCCTGCAGTGTCAAACAGGCAGGGAGAGCAGAGAAATAGGAAAGCAAAGGAACCTAAAGGAACACCAAACCAAAGCAGGAGAGGGGACAGTGCCATAACACAGGGAATGCTGCTGCAGATGCCATCTGCCTGCACTGAAGGCTGCAGTGTATTTATGGAGATAACTGCTTCAACATGATGCTGGTTCCTCTGCTCATGTGCTCATATGATTCGCATCAGAGAGACAAATCAGTGACAGCTCACTCCGTGTGAGGATTTGCCCTGGACAAAGGATCCTCCTGCTGTAAGCAGATCCCACGGATAGCCACAGCTGGAGTTTGTGTCAGCAGATCTGGCCTCCCCTCCCAGAGCACTGTGGAATTCATAATCCCATCGTTAGCAGCTCACACCTCCTGCAGAGCCACGCTCCATCTAACACCGAGAGGATCTGAGAGGCAGGGGGGGAAACGGCCATTATGAGCCCAGAGACTAATTTAGGAAATAGTTCTTTCAAACAGACACAGAAAAAGATAAAAATTGAGTCATTTGATGCATTTTTGAAAGGTTATTTGCTGCGTTCCCTTGAATTTTGTCCAACCACCACAAACACTTCCCAGAGCGGGAGGAACTGGCACAGCCATGGCATGACCACCAGCAGCACCAGATTCAGAGACCTGAGGGCCCCAGCATGGGCCATCACTGGCAGGAGGCACAAGAAACCCAACAATGGAAAAACATGAACCTGGAGAAAGCTTTGTCTCAGCCCTCTCCCTAAAACTGAGCTGAAACCCAAAGCCACGAAGCATTTCTTCCTTTGAGGCTTTAGGAGGTTTAGCTCTCAGCATCTGCTGTTACAAATACCTGACCATCCTGTTTAGCCACAGACACTTCTTTTTTATTTTTTTTTTTTTTTCTCTCAGTGCTCTGAGCCACATCCAAAATCTTCATGTGGCTGAAAACCACACGATAAAACCTTGGCCAGCCAGGGGAGGGAAGGAAGTTTGGTGGTTTGCAGACAGGAAAGAGGGAGCAGGTTTCTTGGGGGGGACTCATTGCTCCCAGCTGGGCTGAATCACCCCTTCTACCCTGCTTCCTTCAGCCCCCAGGAACTTGCCTTGCCCTGCAAAGTCTCTGCTGGTGTGACCTCGCTGCTCACACCCTCCCAGTGGTTACACTTCTTTGCAAGTGTCACGTAGGCAGTGAGGGTGAATTCCACCATTTGCAGCTGTATCATGGTAAAAAAACCACCCTGGACAGTTTTGCAGCTACTGAACGAGTATTTCCTCAACTGCTTTTGATCTTTGATAAACTCCCTTGTTTGCTTTTTGGATTTGGGGTCCATAGTAACAGGAATGGGATATCTGATCCCTTTCCTTCAGCTCACCCTCGAGTGAACCCAGAGTTGTTGCCTCCACTGTCAGTCTTTGGGTTTTACTGGTGGCACATTTCATCTGTCATCAGGCTGCCCCTCATCTGCCCTGCCTGAACCCTTAGGAAGTTCCTGACAGTCTGCCCTGGGTTTAACTCATCTAATTTATGTTTTATGACACCTGCAGAATTCGCCAGGTCACGGATAAACGTGTAACTACCGCAGTGGCACTGATTTTATGAAGTTTATTGCCCTTCTCACAACTCCCCCTAAATGATCAGACCACCTCTGAATTATTAGGCCACTTCTGAACCTGTGTGTGCAGCAGAAGTCCTTGGTCTTACCCACTGCATCCCTGGGGACACTCCAGGTGGGAGGCCCTGCAGGACCGTGCCGAGGGTCACCACACACAGAGGTGTCCTCAGGGCCAGACAGTCACTGAAATCTCCCCTAACTCATGCCAAGCTGCAGCAGAACAAACAGCAGGATCCCTTTACAAAACCCAGACCAGACAATGTAATTTCCAGGTTTCTAAAAGCATCATAAAACCCTCCCGTGTCCCAATTTACCAGACAGGGATACTGCACCAAGACAAACAAGGAACTTCCAAAGAATGGTACAGCACAACAGAGGAAGGGCTGGATATGGAGACAGGACCTGGCACAGAAAACTCCTCTTTCCTGGCTGCAGTGATGGATCTTTTGCAGACAGAAGTTGCCAATCTCCAGTGGAAGTGCAGGAGAAGAGTCTGAGCTGAACGAGCCCCCACCATTCAGAACGGAATGATGGAATCATTCACCCAAGGAAGCCTGGTATGAAGGTGGCACTCTGACCACCAGTGCTTGAATCAGGTCCCAGCAGCTCAAACAAGGTTTAACACTGGCAGTTTTACACTACCCAAGATGTCCCAGCAAACCCAGGGTTCCTTCTTGGTCAAACATCAGGGTGCAGAGTGGAATTTAATTCAGATAACAAGTCAGGATCGGTGCAGAGATCAATGAACTCCCCTCTCTTTGAGCCCAGACATCCATCCAGCTTTGTCCCAGCACTGTTTGTGCCCCTGCCCAAGCCACGAGCAGCCGGTGTCTCCAGGAAAATGCTGTGGGAAATGGAGTCAAAGGCTTTCCCAAAGCCCAGGCAGACACATCCATCGCCTTCCTCATCCACT